TCTGCCTGTTCTGCTCCCCGCTCTGTCTCTGGTGAATCCTCTCACCGCCCCTGAACCTCTGGCCCGTACCCCAGTTCTGTATGCATAAATAAATAAATTTTTAAAAACAGAGAGAGAGAGTTTGGTAAACCAGGAAGCACAGAAGGCTCTAAAGAAGGGGTTTGTGAACTGTCAGTTGTGTGTTGCTATAGGAAGAAGCTAGGTCAGATGGGCTACAGAGATGAGCAGGCTGGGTGGAGCAGAAAAGATAAGACTGAAGGTGGCTAAATAGGCCACTCAGCAGAGGTTAGTTTGGACAGGGCAGCCTCCTGGCACCGGGTGTCCCCACAGCCTGTCCTTCTGTGTGTTTTTACACACCCTCGCTGTACACCCCAGTAAGCCGGCCCAGTGGGTGATCAGTAAAGATTCTCTGGACAAATGAAGAGACAGGAAGAATCCACGGCCTCTCATGATGAGAGAGGTAGCAGCTAAAGTGGAAGGCCTGACTAGGAAAGCCTCGCTGCCATCATCTGCCTGCCCAGCAGCTTGTCTCCGCACACTTGACTTCCTCCTCAGGTTCAAGGAAGATTCTCTCCCAGGACCAGTGGGCTACTCTCCCTGATGCTGCCAGCTTCCCTAGGGGGTTTCATGTCCCATGAGCCCTCACGGAAGGTAGGGTCAGTTTAGCCCACCCTTGCAAGCCTGGTGACAGGGAACAGGTGAGGGGACACGTGCAGCCACAGACCGGCAGACCTGATCAAGTAGCTGACAAACATCCTCCACAACTCTGCCCCCTCAGGGCACGGAGAACCCACAGACTCTGGATAGGTCTGTATAGGTCTGGACCAGGTCCCAGAGAGCCCCAAATGACAGAAGGCTGAGTACATTTCACCTGCACAATCTGTTCTATCATCTCACGGGCTATGTCCAATTCAGGAATCTGATTGCCCAGCATTCTGGCTTTGGATTTAGAGAGGACTCTAGACAGAGGGGTACAGAATTCAGGAAAGGGGAAACAGAATTAGAAGGAGAAAAGCTGGAAAAACCTGAGGTCAAGAGAATTTTAGTTCCAGATCCGAGCTCCAGATGCCAGCACTTGGTTATGAAAGTTAAGTTCACCTGGTTGAACGTCAATTTTCTCCCCTAGAAAATTAGGTGGGCTTTTGCGAGGACAGAGGGATTAAAGCCATCAAACTGACAGCTAGGGGCTCACAGTAGCTCTGGCTGATTTGCAATGTCATCACTGCTGTCACCACTCTCGTTCCCTGGACAGGAAGGCAGCAGCCTCCTGAGCTCCAAGCCAATGGGCTCTTCAACAAATGTTGGTTGGCGCCCTCTGTGTGCTGAGGCAGTGCCAGGTGCCAGAAAACTGGCTGTGGCCTCAATGAGTTCATTTGCCAATTTTAGCAGGGGCATCCCAGCAAAACCTGAGCTGGAGCCACCCAAGAGTTTCATTCCTGTCCCTGTCTTAGAGCATAAATCACCAGACGCCTGACTTGGCGAGTTCTCCATAATAGGGCCCACCTCTCCAGGAGACTGTCACCATTTAGGTGGAGCCATCTGAGGGCTGGATTGCGCTTTTGGACATGGGCCCCTCTAGCCTCCTTCCCCCACAAATCTCAGATAAGGGACATAGGTGACAGGTTCACACCTAGGTCACCAGAAGCAGCCAACTGGACACGTAAAAAGTGTCAGACACCACATAGGATTTTGCTCTGGGGCCCCTACTGGAGGATGTGTGCCACAGCGGCCATGTGTGCTGGATTCTCTTCCAGCTGGGGAGACTCTTGTTTCTTGGGATGATGACTGACTCAGTGATCATGGCAGCAGAAACAGAGCAACACCCTGAGAGTTGGAGCAGCTTCATGTCTCCAGGACCAAGGAGCCCTGAACAGAGCTGACCATCACCTGGGCATTACTAGATACTGAAAACCGCCCCCTGCTCTTTGACCACAGGAGGTGGTCTGTGTGGGTATGACTCAGCCTTATTTCTCCCCTACAGTACTGCCATTTGTTGGAGGTCAGCAGGGGTAGGCTGAACACCACCAGAGGCAGCTGAACCTTGGGAGAAGTCTCTTTCTACCACTGTTCTGCTGCAGGTCTTGAATTATGCATACACTGCACAGAGGTGAGGAATTAGAAGAGAAGCTTCTTGCTCACTTGGCACTCCCAGGCAGCAAGTGTCCTGGGCTGACCCTACCTAAACAGTCCTACCAGTTGGAGGTTGAGGGAAAAGCAGGTGTCAAAGCCCAGAGGCAGCAGGCAGCACATGGCTGATATAGCCAGAGATAGAGGCCAAGGGATTTGTATTCTTTACTGAGACTAGGGAGGTCAGTGAAAACAGACACAAGATCTGAAAGCCAAATAAAGGAAACTGGTATATCCTAAGAACAATGGAAAACCCCAGAAGAAATTTAGGCAAGAGCATGTCAGACTTTTTTTCGAAGAGGAACAGCACGACTGCTCTGTGGGAAATGGACTGGAAGCAGGGACTCCAGCAGGAAGTAAGAGATGAAGATGGCCTATAACAAGGACAAAATGGGGGGAAAGGAGAAGAGAATCACCTGGGAGATATCTAGAGGTTGATTCAGAGAGGCACTGAAGTGAAACAAGTGGGGAGAAGGAAACTTCATGGGTGACATTCTTGTCAACTCTGGAGCCAGACCCTCGTCCATTGCCAGCACCTGGATAACTTTTGTCATAACCTCTATCCTCAAACTGTCGCTGTGTCCAGGTCTGTTCACTTATATTGGGAGATCTCGGACAACAAGGTTTCAGGAAAGAGCACAGAAAAGCTGACTTTAGGTAACAGTAAGAGGCAAACCTGCCACCCTGCTGACTAAAACCTGCTCACCCCTTGGGTGTAAATGTTCACGCCCCTGAGTGTATAAGGGTGTGAATCTGGGTGTATGTTTCTGTAACTGATTTTGTATGATCATCTCAAGGCCATGGCCAACAGTGCTAGACTGTTTAAGGACGGCACATGATGTTACACAAAATTGGCTGCCTTGATAATCTGTTCCAGCAATGGTACCCACGCTCTCTGGCTCAACAAGCCTATCTCTGCTGGCCTAGAATCTCCCCGCAAGTCTTGGCATGGTCAACATCTGACGCAAGGAGCAAAGCTTTAAAGAAAAAAGAAGAAGAAGAAGGCCCCTCCTTGGTGGCTCAAGGGCTTAAAGCATAGCACTGCAAAGCTAGCCTAGCCGCTTCAGTGCAAGTTCAATTCCCAGCCAGGAAGGTGACCCAATGGCACGGCAGACCTCTTCTGACCCACCCGCTGTTCCCCCAGCAGTGTACTTTGTGGATCTGCCTGTTCTGCTCCCCATTCTGTCTCTGGTGATCCACTCACTGCCCCCGTACCTCTGGCCTGTACCCCAGTTCTGTATGCATAAATTAAAAAAAAAAAAAGAACAAAGCTTAAAAAGCTAAATTCTCCCTCTCCTTCCTGTGTCATCAGTCATCAGCTGTTTCTATTTATCTAAACTTCCTCTATCTTTTGCCCATTTTTTGCAACCCCGCCTTTCCCTGGAAGCAATTGAAAATGAAATGAACAAGCTGCTTATTTCCCAAACCCACATTTTTGGCTTAGAGACCAGCAGATCCAAGGGCTTCTCCCTTGGAGAAACATCCCTTGGAGGTGTAAGTGAGGGTGCTGACCAGTTTTTTTTTTGGGGGGGATTGGGGGGAGTCACCCAGGACAAGGACTCTGAAGCAGAGGCCTAGGCATTCACACTCTGCAGCAGAGCTGGTAGACAACCCTCCAGCCCTCAGTGGCAGGGAGCCCCACTACCTGCACAGCATCATAGGTCATAGGTTTGTCCTTCTTCCTGGCCAGCAGGATCCCATCAAGCGCCCAATCCCTCCTATAGGACCCATAGCGCTTTATTTCCTTTTTAAGCGAGTTCTCTAGAGCCCCTAGTTCTCAGACTTAGGTTGCTGCCCCTGTGCTAGTCAATCTAGCCAACTGGGAAAGTTTCCAAAAGCGGAGCTGCTCCAGAGACCAATCTTGAGGTGAAGGAGTCTAGGCATAGACCTTGGAGTCTCTGGGAGGAGGAGCTTCTGTGAGAAGGCACATTCCACATATGTCGGGAGCCTCTGGCTGGAAATGGGTGGAGCTTTCTGAATAAATACTGGAGCTCTGCCCTTTTTTTGGGAGGGCTGGATTCACAGGAACTACAAGATAAGACACATGTAGTCTCAAAAATCAGATGCCTGGCCTTTCCTTAGGACCTAGACTTCTGACCTCAGTGAGGCCTGGGCCTCCACAGTGAGGTAGGAGGGATCCTGGCCAACAGGTCAGCCAGCAGCTCTGGGTGGAAGGTTGCCGGGGGTCCGGAAATAGCTCCTTTTCCTTCCAGGGAAACAGCCTACTTGTCAGGGTTCCTGCTCTCTTGAGGAAGGTTCCTGACTCTCCCCAAGTGCTTGTTCAGTTCACTCCCTAAGGTCCCTCCAGTCACACCCTGAGAGAGGAGGAGTTGGGGGGACACAGCAGCTCCTGAGGAGGGGCCCTTTCCTGAGGCTAAACAGGTAAGATTAGGGCGGGAGGCTGCTACTAACAGCTCCTGGTTCCCTCTGAGATGGGTGGGGGAGTGAGGGAGGGAAGGTCAGGGCCAGCCGGCCCCTTCCTCAATCCAGAGTCCACAAAGTCAACCCTTCACTTTTAGAAACTATCTCCTCCCCCACACCTACCACGCACGGCCCAGAGGCGGGAAACCTGGAGCCGGGAGCCTAGAGCCTAGGCCACAGTCAGCTGCAAGTGGCTCTGGAGCCCGAGCAGTCCGACGGCGCAGTGACGTGGTGGGAGAGGCTCCCCAAGCCACTCTGGAGGAAGCTCCCCGGCGGTCTCTCCTGTAGAGCAAGGCCGGCCGGGCCAGAAGAAGCCGGGTGGGCCCTCCGGAGCAATGGCGCGCGAGGCAGGGCCTCCTG